AATCTGCAGGAGCTGGAGGATTTTTCTGAAGAACAGTGCTCAGTTTAACTGTTCAGAACAAACAAGGCACTCATGAACAACCATCACAAAACAAAAAAACAGTGGTGGATCATCCAGGTAACCACACACACTATTAAGAACCAAGGGTTCCCAAACGTTTGAATAGGGTTAGTTTAATAATTTCAGCTATTTTTTGTCTTGTGGACTAAATGTAAACATATTTTATGTAAAATATCTTACTCAGGACAGTACTAAATAAAAAATAACAGGCATTTTGTATGATCTCTCTTATTTTGTTAAAATTATTCCCATTTTCACAGATTCTGTAAGGGGTTCCCAAACTTTCGCATTCCACTGTAACTATGCTTGCATTATGAATCACTTTGATAAAAAAACATCTGCAAGGGGTTCCCAAACGTTCGCATGCCACTGTACAAATCACACAAAACACATCTATGTATTGCAGTAATTTCAAGATTTTTATTAAAAATGACTGATTACAGTAATGAGCATCTATAATGAGAAATTTGCATTCACACTGAAATCTTTTGATTACAGACGTTGGAATGTTGGTGAATCTCAGCACAAAGTTATCTCTTCTGAAACTGCAGATGAGACTCAGCAAACAAGAAACATTCTTAGAATTCTTGAAAGTAAAGTAAAAAGTAAAGAATTGTGGCAAGGTTCTCTCAAAGTTATGAACAAACGTTCTTCCTGTAATGTTAACAGAACTTTCGTTCAGAGTTATCTGGTCTTTAATAATATTCTCAAAACATTAGCACAAAAACGTTATTTATGCATTGTTCATGGAACATTTTATTTCAGAGATGTTTTAGTTGGACATTTTTTTAACAAAACATTTTGAATTTACAGAGCACTTTTAAAAATAACTTTTTTTTTAATGTTCAAAATATTATGTTCAAAACGATGTTCAAAATATTTTGTTTGCTGGGGAGGCGTGAGTTTTTTTATTTATTTATTTATTTTCCAGCGTAGAAATGTGAGAAGTGATGCAGTTTAGGATAAACTGGTGAAATATCAGTGAGATCTCATTTGTGCTTTTACTTTCTTATTGTTTAAGGCCTACATTGCAAGAGCGGAATATAGTATGAACACAGTATATAGGCCACTGCATTAATATCGTTCTGACTTCCCAAATGCATGCAACTCTCACCTGTCAATGCAGAGTACAGTCACTGTGCCCACTGTGGTAAACTGGTTACTGACGTCCACCACCACCACAGCTTTACACATGAAGTGGCCAAAGACCCACTGTCTGTCCCTGACCAGCTGATGGATGTTGAACGGCATCACCAAGAGGAAAAGCAGGTCTGCGATGGCCAGATTCAGCACGTAAATATCAGAGACCATCTTCTTCTTGCATGATGCCACAGCATAGATCACCAAACCGTTGGCCAGAACTCCAACTGAACACAGAACGCCGTAGATAGTGGGGAAGATGTGCATGAAAGACGCGATGTCAATCATGCTGTACGATGGGATGGTTCGGTTCACACACGAAAATTTGCTTAAAAAAGAAATAACTATGAAAAGTTGTCGTCTTAGTCTGGTCTTCGCACGATTACGCAAGCTTTTACGCAGCGCTCTACTTCATATCCAAACCGTTTAAAGTTGTAAAAGCTTCCCTCGGGTGTCAGCTATCGCCCCGTTGTCATCTGCTTCGCTTTTCATTCAGTTTGCCGATGCTTCCTCGGTCTCTTGAGATACTGTGTTAGTACATATAAATGCCCAAAGGCTGGAGCTTCTGTGCGTATTCTGCGCGTCTGTCTCCTTTAGTACGGTTGTTTGAAGAGATGCGTATGTCTCCACCCTTTCAGAATCCTCTCTCCAAGCTCACCCATCACACTCAATATTTAAGAAAAAAATGTTTGATTATTCATTTGTGCAGTCCATCACAGCAAGACGCTCCAAACTCCAGTGTTCACAATGAATGTATTTATCTGCTGTCATGGGCTTTGAGTTGCTACCTGTTGCATGCACATCTTATTAGACCTGTTATAGTTTAATCATTTACATTCAAGCAATATTGGCAGATGCCTTTATCCAAAGTGAGTTTAATGAATACATTTTATGAGTTCATGCGTTCACTGGAAATTGAACCCATTACCTAGGAGTTGCGAGCACCATGTTATGCTGTTTAAGCTTATAGTCAGATTGGCTGTGCATTATCACTGTTCCTTATGTTTCAAAGTTGTATAGATTAATTGTTAAATTGATCTTGCTGCCCAGCCCTTTTATGGATTATGTTCTATTATGTTCTAGATTATGTAATTTGTGCACACTTTAAAACGAAAGCCGTATCTCTGTATATCTCAATAAGTATCAGCACCACTGCATTCCTGTAAAAACAGGCACTCCGTCATCTTGTCTAGATTCGAGGGAACAGAGCACATTCTTTAAAGATTTGAAACTTCATTTCCACAGATTAAAAAAGTAATTTAAGGAGTAATAGACAGGACTGATGGCCCCTGCAGAACAGAAAGGATATTGGTGAGAAAAGTTTACTCCCAAAAACTTTATAGCATGCATTTATGGATTTTGTCCATACTATCTCACAAATCATTTGTGTAACTGTGCATGCAAAAGAGCATTGCAGTAGTCCAGTTTAGAGATGACCTGGTAGGAATGGTCTGATTGGGTACAGTATTTTTGTTTAATGTATAATAATAATTATTATTATTAAAACTGTAATATTGTGAAATATTATTTATGTTTAAAGGAACTGTTTTCTATTTGAATATATTTTTAAATGTAATTTATTCCTGTGATGGCAAAGCTGAATTTTCAGCAGCCATTACTCCAGTATTTACATGATCCCTCAATCATTGTAATATGCTGATTTGGTGTTAAATTATTATAAATTATTACTGGTATTCAATTATAAATGATGGTATTATTATAAATGTTGGAAATGTTTTTGCTGTGTAATATTTCCGTGGAAACCTTGACACATTTTTTTCTTTAATGAATTGAAAGTTTAAAAGAATGCCTTTAAAAATCATGGCATCACAGTTTCCACAAAAAGTATTAAGCATACGTAAGCAACAATTGTCACAGAAACTATACAAATCGTTGTCCATTGTAAAGTTTACAGCACCTTGAGTCTCTTTTACTCCACCAGAGAAAGTAAAGGTGTTCATGCTCTCTCTTCTCACACATCACAGCACTCTCACACACATCACATTCACTCTCTCCTGCACACACTCATTTACTGCTGTCATAAATCCACTGTATCAACCTCAAAAACTGTTCAAATGTCACAGTTTTCACACTTTATTTTTCACGAAGACATAATCAAAACCACAGTCTTTGTTACAATATGTGGAAATCTGAGGTAACAATGTGTGTGTGTGTGTGTGTGTGTGTGTGTGTGCGTGTGTGTGAGTGAGAGAGAGAGCATTTTTATGGTTATGTCTCCATAAAATTAAACTGGCTGAAGAACATTTAGTGGTTACGGTGGCTTAGCCTGAGGTTGATTGCATGTCTTGTGATTTGGATGGGCGACCAATGACCAAATGATCTTCAGTCACTCTGACATCTTTAGTCATGGCCTTAGCCCTTGTAAAGAGCGTGGTACAGCTCATCATATATCATAATTACTATATGCTATATATTATGTACTGCATACTACTATTTACGGTGAATCTGTTAAGTATACACACTTTTGTCACACAATGCATTGCAAAATCTAAAAAATGTAATTTATGTATGAGTATAAGACTCTATGTCATTAATGATTTGAATAGTTTTGTGATGTTAGTGTCATATCAAATGATGCTCCGTCTCCCAAGGGGTCCTTGGCTTAAAAATGTTATAGACCCCTGTTGTGACCTAAAGTATAACTTTCACTGTGACAAGGTCAGATGAAAAACAAAACTGACCTTGGCATTATTGTGCCCTAAAATGAATAATTCACTCAAATCAATGAGCTTCAAGGAGAAGGTGAAGGCTTTGTTTAAGGAGCAGCGTAATCATGGAAAACTTGTCAAAATCTCCAGCTCAACTGCCAATTTGGTGCAACTCATTACTTCACAGTTGGTTCATGCTTCTCTTTTCTAAGTCTGCTGATTATGGAAGGTAATTTGCAATTGTTGATACATGTGGATTCATTCATGTTAATAATGCATGTCCTTGTAATCAGCATAAGAAGATTGGTTTATTCTGTGTTCCGGCAGAACTGAAAAGTCCTTGTGTTCCTTTATAGTGTCTTTGATAACCAAAGCAATTAAAAATGTGAATTTGCATTTAATTTTATAACATTTGTTAAATTGCAATGCATAACCAATCTTTGATGACTGTCACAAAATGTAACATAAACTGCAAGATTCCTGGATGATACAGACTATTCAGATATAACTCTCAAAGGACTGAGGAATGCATGCTTTCAGGCAAATATTTCTCATCACAAAAAAATAAAAATAAAAAATAAAAAGATAACCGAGAAAATATGAACATGACACAAAGATGAATGACCCAAAGGGAAAGAAGTAAATAGAGAGTATGGCTGTTTTACTTTGTGGTCACATGCCTACAAAGATCATATGATGCCTTGTAAGTACTGGAAGACGTTTGGCAAGATAACAATCCCTGTTTCAAGCCTACAAATCGCGATCCCTAAACCCCTTTTTTTAAATGAAACCCCCTGTTTTCTTGACGCCTATCATGTCCAAAATTGGCAAACAAATAAGGCAGGTAACTGGTTTTTAAAACAATGCCATTATGAATGAAATCATTCATGTCCAGCAGAGGGCGCTGAAGTGCAGCAGACAGTACTGACATAAATATTTCACAATCCACTCTGAGAGTTGGGGAACAAACTTCACCTGCATTCTTGTCTGTGTGCGGTCGTCAGTTTTGATTAATCAGTTAAGCTGCCTTAGTTAAACTTGGCAGTGAACCTCAACGTTTTAAACTGTTTCTTTAGCTTGATGTGCTTCATTTTCCAGTTTCGAACAACGTCTGTGGTGGTAAATATACTGACATGGTAAAGTGTTATGTCCATGAGGGGAAAAAACAAAACAAAACAAACAAAAAAACCCGAATTGCACTTCAATGCTGTTTAACTTTAACATTTTTAAATTGATTTTAAATAGAGATTATATGGAATAGTATAAATATAACGGCAATGTAAACATGTATTTTGTTCAAACTTTACTCAATACTCATTGTATGTTTTTTGTTACATATGTGACCCATGGACCACAAAACCAGTCATAAGGGTCGATTTTTGGAAATTGAGATGTATACATCACCTGAAAGCTGAATAAATAAGCTTTCCATTGATGTATGGTTTGTTATGATAGGACGAGATTTGGACGAGATACAACTATTTGAAAATCTGGAATCTGAGCTTGCAAAAAAAATTAAAATATTGAGAAAATCACCTTTAAAGTTGTCCAAATGAAGTTCTTAGCAATGGATATTACTATAAAAAATTAAGTTTTGATATATTTACGGTAGGAAATTTACAAACTATCTTCATGGAACATGATCTTTACTTAATATCCTAATGATTTTTGGCATAAAAGAAAAATCGATAATTTTGACCCATAAGCCTACAATGTTTTTTTTGGCTATTGCTAAAAATATACCCCCAGCGACTTAAGACTGGTTTTGTGGTCCAGGGTCACATATTGTATATCATATGTCTTGTGTTCATTGGTAGTATATATAAGAGCTATTTTTGCATTTCCTAAAAAAATAAGTAATTAAATAAATAAAAATAACAAATTTTCACAAAAACACTTGGTAGTGAGACTTTGAACCACTGCTTGTGTGTACTGTAGTAATGTAAATGTGTATGTAAACATACTCCCCTTGAGTCATAAAATATGCTTTCATCCAGTCATGAAATATGAAACCATTTATCTTTGTTTCATCATCCCTGGGAAATCAATGGAAACTGAGATGGGGATTTTAGATGAGCTGTTGGTGATGAATTTAACAATAAACCTCAACAATAATCTCGCTCTAACTGCCATCGATAAAGGATAAAGCGGAAGTAAATGCAAACATAAGTATAAAAAAGTCTATTGACTATTAAGATATTCTGTAACATTTGTGAAAATTAGATTTTGATCATTCTGTCTGTCATTGGGCTTAAGATATAATCTTTGTGCTGCTTTTCACTTCAAGGTGCTTTTTTATCAAGAGAGGAAGGTGCCAGTACAACCACTAATCAAGATGTCAAAGGGGATTCAGAAAATATAAAGTGAGTCTGGGCCAAAATTATTTAATTGTATTGATTCAAATGCATGGTTTGTTGTTTCAAAGGCTGTAGCCAAGTTTAATCAATCTAATCATGGTAGTACTGATGGAAAGTTGAATAATACGATCTGACAGGATTTGTGGTTTCACATTAAAGCTTATGAGACAAAGCATCTACTGTAACGCAGAGCAAAATCTTTAAACCTGTTCACTGTGCACACAAACATACACATGCATACACAGTCTTTCATTTGTCATTGAGGTGATGCTTTTTATCAAAACTGAAGTACAAATGTATTAGGTTCTAGGAGATTTGTCGCAGTTTATTTTCAAAAGAACAACTCATCTAACAATTGTTCCCATTCTGTTCATCAAAAAATTATTCAAAGCATTTCAAAAGCAAAATCACATGAAACAATAGAAATCGATAGAATCAATAGAATTGCACAATAGAAACCAAAGTTAGTCATTGATTTATGTTTTCAAATATATTTGTATATTGAATATATTTGAAGTTTATTGCAAAATATTCATATATATGAATATTATAATATTAAATATAATATATTTGTATTTCTTTGAACCTATTTACGATTACTATTTTTTTTTTTTTTATATAATTTTATATAAAGCAAACTGAAAAAAATGTGTTGAGTTACAACTGTGTATGAAATATCCTATAAAAATGAGCTAGTCTGAGACATCATCTACAATGCTATGAGTGATGGATCTCTCTCTGGGGCTATGAGTAGTGTAGTTAAATTAACACTGACTTGGGCTTCTACAGAGACCATCGGTTAACAACCTCAGAGCGCAGAGCTGGCCTGTCTTGAAAGGCTTATACATTATCACTAAAAATCAATTTCCGTATTTTCACTTCCGGAATCCGATTGTTGAAATGTATTATAGGGTTGAGTGCC